TGCAAAAGGAACAGCAGTGAAATAATTCCTAACAATGTTCTGCTACACTCGCAGACCGGTGCCTCACTCAGCCATCATCAGAAAAGCTTCCTCTTGAGGTATGGGAACTAATACAAAAACTCACAAATAAACAATGTTCAGAGAGTGAAAGACCTTGAAACATCCAATCCTAAATGGGATATCTCCAACAAGTCCTTAGCCTTAGGGCTCAGGGAACTGTGCAAAAGAGGAGACTGAAAGATTGTAAGAGCCAGAGGTGAACATAGTATCTTCCTGATACAATAGGACTGATACACATATGAAATCACAGAGACTGAGGCAGCATGCACATGACCTGCACAAGGTCAAGCCAGAAGGAGTTTCAGTGCTAATAGGGTTAAATAGACATGATTCTCCTCCTTAATCAAGAAGCTATCCCTAAAGGAAAACCATTTGCAAAGGAAAAGTCAGGGTTTTTTTTTTCCAATAGGGTCTCATCAAGTATATTAACCACACTTAAAGTAGGCCCCATGAACACCAGTAGACAGTCAACACAAAACAAGATATTTTGTGGATTTTTTTTCTCATATTGCTGTGTTTGGACATTTTAAAATAATCTTACTTGTCTTTTGCTTGTATATTATAGTATCAGACTTTTTGTTTTTATGATTTTTGTAAGTGTATCCCTCTGTATATGCATGTTTCTTGTGATTTTCTTTTTTAAAATATGTTCTCTTGTTTGTCTTAATTTGCTTTCTTTTTATCTAAAAAGGGGGAGAAGGAAGATGTGGAGTTGGATGGGTAGGATGTGGGGAAGGTCTAGGAGGAGATGGGGGAGAGGAAATCATGATCAGAATATACTGTATGAATTTTCAATAAAAAGAAAAACATCTACATATACTAGGAATATACAACATAATTAATACATGTTTATCCATCTGTCCATTATTATCTTTCTTTCATGTCTTCTCTCTTCTATAACCTATGTTTATATCTACCATCTATATAGCTCTCATCTGTATATGAATATCATTTATCTGTTGCTTATTTATCTATCTTCTATTTTATCTATTTATCCATCTACTATCTCCATCTTCCATTATATATAAATCTATCATCTACCTATCTATCTATCTATCTATCTATCTATCATCTATCTTCTAACATTTTTCCTATTAATCATTTATCTATCATTCACATATCATTTCTATCATTTATAATCTATCTACCTACCTACCAATTTACCATCTATTCTGCATATCTGTCTTTTTCCTGTTTACCATTTGATCATCTGATCATCTATCACCCATCATTATACAATCTACCAATTGCCAAGTTTTTCAATATATGTCCATCAGACATTTACTTATCTGATTATCTACCTGTCATCATTACTTTATCTATATGTTAATTTATACAACTATTTGGCTATTACTTGTTTACCTTTCTATCTAAGTTCAATAGTGATGGCATATCACAGACTAGGTGACTTAAAAACAGAAATATATTTTCTCACAGTTTTGAAGACTGAAGGAGGAACTGGATCCCAGTTTCTCATTCAACTTGCAAAGAGCTATTTTCTATCTCCTGTACCAAACTGAACCCACATTTCTTCTTCTTATATGAACACTGGTCACATTAGCTGAGTGTTTATCCTAATAACTTCAATTACCTTATAATGTCTCTGCCTCCAAATACAGTTATCCTGAGGGGATGGACATTAGCACTTCAGCATGAGAAGTGATGGGAAAGACATAGTTCAGCCACATATTGCATACTACTTACCTATCTGAATATTAGCAATGGGGTCATTGAGAAAAATGAGCAATTTTTTTTCTATTTCTAAGCAACAGTTTTTATAGCTGACTGTTTAGAAATTCACCAATTGAAAACAGTATAGAGAAGATCCAACATTTATCTGGTTTTAATATTTACATTTTTTAAAATAATGATTTTTATTTTTAAAAATTTGAATAAACTTATATCATATTCCCTTGCCCTATCCACCCTCCAACCCTGCCATGCTTGCTAATTTGTTGCATATGACGTCCCTGCACTCAGAAAGACAGCGCCACCACCAGCTTGGCATCAAATTGATATATCAGATTGACATATAATGGAAGATGGAGATAGTAGATCTGTGTGACAAAGATCAAGAGACTGATCATGGTGGAAAGACAAAGATACAAGGGACCTCTGTGAGGACAAATGACTGTGTGCCTATGCTGTATATGACTACTGACTCCCTCAGTACTGACAGGCAAAGCTCTGAGACAGACATGACTGTCATTTGTGTGTGTGTGTGTGTGTGTGTGTGTGTGTGTGTGTGTGTGTGTAAGGTTATATTCTTTACTCTCATGGTGTTTTAGTTGTAGAAAACTAGGCAGGATTTCCTTTATTTACCTGTCTGACTAAACACATCATATAGATGCCTCTTATCTCTTCTTAGCTCCCAGGATCCTTGCCCCCTAACATGTAATTCAGGACATAGCTCTGTCTGTCCTTGGATTCTTAAATCCACCCAAGAGTTTGTCATTTTCCTGAGTCCCTGTCCTCAAGTACTGAGATATAAAAAAGGGTGCTCTCCCCATACACACATGCTCTACAGACAATGATATTTAGTGCCTCTTAACTCTCCTCTTTTGTTTAACTTTCATCTTAAGAAATCACTCTATAATTTTAAGTTTGAGGACATATTGGCTTCACTGAACCCATGCTACTCTGTACTCAGAGTAACTTCAGAATTCATATATTCAGACTGAAAATAGTAACTGTCTTTACATTTCATGAGTTCTTTTACTTTATCTCTTCCCTGGGGGAAGAAAGGATACATATTGGTTAAAACCAATGACTATTGTACAGTTTGTACATTGTTTCTGAATCAATCCTCAAATATTTACTAAGGCTAGACCTAGCAATAGTGTAGAGTTATTGAGTTTTGCATATTAGCAATGACAAAAATCCCTGTATTGATTCACATGAACTGTGTAATACCTGAGAAAGTTCCCACAGAGTTGAATTTCAGTCAAATCTTAGGGAACAGAAGCAGTTTTTGTATAACCTGGGTTTGTGATAGGAGATTCACATTTATAACGTGTCTTGGAATTTGTTGAGAATTAGTAAATTCATTTTGTTGTATTAGAGAAAATATTGTCACCCATTGTGGGATATAAAATTAATCAAGTACACCTTGATTAGTGGAAAACTAGGCAACACACTGTTGGTGAGGTTTTGCATCACATTTGATTTAACTAATGCTATCTTGTGACTCCACCCACACTTGTACTTTGTACTCTTGGATCCACTGGTCAGCCAAAAGACATACTTCACTTAGAATTGAGGGCCCATTCTTGTGAAGTTAATTATTTCTAGGTGAATCAAAAGGTAAGACAAACAACTGCCTAAAAACCTTTAAGCATATGTCTTCGCTGTCTTGATGACTTACCTGTTCAACTGCATAAGGTAAATGACTCCTTCTCAATACAACCTTATTAGGTTTCTATAGCTAAAAGAAAATCATCAGAAAACCTCACTGAACTGCTATGTTTTATATTTTTATAGCTTTTGTTGAAAATACTTACAATTATGTACCATAGCATATTTAACACCCCTAATGTTTTGAATGCAATTTTATTTTGTTAAGGGACTTGAATTTTTGAAGACTGAATTTGGTCTATACGATAGAGAAAGGGTTTCATACAGGATCTAACTTTGGGTTATTGTTAAATTAATGTTTTATTTAATGAGTTGAATCTTGAGGATTGATATGCATTCTGAAACTAATCTTATAGCTAAATAAATCAACATTATTGGAATATTGGAATACATAGCTATTTTATTAGCTAATTATATTATGATAAATATGAACACACAAGAAATATTTGGTGAACAAATTAAAACTTTTTGTGAAATTACATACTGGATGTTAAAGATTTTATTATAAAATAAATATACTGTTTAAGGATTAATATTGAATATGTAAACATTGATTCACAGCATAGCAAAGCTACTAGAAACCACCTACAAGAGTGGATTTCCCCTCATAAACATTTTATACCCATATTCACCTCTTAAGCCCCTATACCACTTTTAATTTTGATATTGTTAAGTACACATGGCAAACAAAGAACTGAGAAAATAACATATATTTTTCAGGCAAAACAAAATGCATTGACATCACTATTTTTTTATTAGAGAATAAAAAAGTAGAATTCATCTCAGCCTAATTGAATAATTACCTTGGCTCTCCGTTTCTCTTTGCATGTTTAAACCTGTACGGTGACTAAATAAGACAAGAGACTGAAGCCATTCCTTCAATACCTGACATAACTTTTGTAATCATGATGTGGATCCTTTCAACAAGAATTTTGCTTGTCTTAACTTATTGCTGTACCTAATCCAGATAGATGATTCTGTTTGCTTGAATGTACAAATCATAAACCTTGGGAGTACATTATTTTCTTTGGATGAATGTGTCCAAGAAAGATTAACCTATATAAATTGGATTCTTTGAAAATCATCTTGCATAGAGAAACCAGAACTCCTTTATCCTTAAAAAAAGTTGAATTTTTAGTATGAGTTTTCCAGAAAAATTAAAAGTAAGCGTTAAATAGTCACTTACATTTTTTTTATGAGCTCAACCAAAATTATTATTTTATCTATAAAATTTTCAGGACTATTGCTTTACAGTTATCGCCACTTAACTGTATACTGTATATGTAATAAAAAAATTGGAGTGAAAATAACAGGTTGTCTTTGAAAATATGTATATATTTTATTGATATGGGATGTCAATTGCAATTTTAGTTTTCTTTTCAGAATATATGACCAGCAAAAATGAGTGCACATGCTGCTTCTAGTACTGGTGGGAGAGCCAAAATCAAAATGGAGTTACAGAATTTGCACTGCAGCATGACCTTAGCTTGCTGGATGCAATTCATCTAAAGCCCTTCCCAGATCTTCTCAAGATAATAATGCTGCTGCCAATGAAAACTGATACTCTCCATCGAATATTCGCCAACATTGCATGTCAATAACTGAGAATATACTTGATATTGGGCTATATAAATTGGAATAAATATTGAGTCTGACAAGTGTGAGCACAGGTAATACACAGAAAAACAGAATGTCCAAATAAGTCATTTGTATTCCCGCCTCAGTTTAAAAAAAATCAAAAGTTTCATCTCAATTTAAATCTGCTATAGGTAGTTCTCTTGCCCGATGTACTCACAGTTTCTGGGAAGACCACAAAACACATGAGTGTAAGCCATGGGCTGATGTTGAAAGCAAGCCTTACACATAGCTGGTAGAGGTTTTGCTAGGCACTGTCACCTTCCTTTGGTTATCTTTTTGTGGCACACGGTATGGTGGCACTGGATATCTGTGCCACTGCTCCTTTCTGTTGCAACAGCAATATCCACAGAGCAGCCCCCCCGCAATGAAGAGGACAGCAGCAGTCGCCCAGCCTAGGAAGAGCGCCCCTCCAAGCTCTCGCTTCTGACCGACGTGGATGGTTGGGTCATAGAAATCCCGAATGATGATATTGGCGGTCCAGGACACTGGAATCAGAACGAAGATACCAGTCAGAATAAAGAGGACTCCTGAGGTTCCCAGCAAGTAGGCTTTGACCCTCTCACTGGAGCCGGTGCACTGGATCTGTTTCATGCCGCAGATGCCAATAATGAGAGCAATGAAGGAAAGAGCTATAGCCACACACATGAGTGCCCGTGCAGCTTCCAATACTGGTGGGAGAGCTAAAATGGAGTTATAGAATTTGCACTGCAGTGTGACCATAGCTTGCTGGATGCAGTTCATCCAAAGCCCTTCCCAGATCCTCTCAAAGATAATAATGTTGCTGCCAACGAAAGCCGATACTCTCCACTGAGGCAGAAGTGTTGTGCCAATCGTCCCAACCATGCCGAAGAACCCAAGAACCAATCCAGCAATCTGAAGGGGATAAAAAGCCATTGTCTCTTCTTTGCAGACTGGTCCAGCGTAGAAGGGTAGAAGATGCCCAAGATGCAGAAGGTGAAGTAATCTTCTAGTCTAGAGGAGTGTCTGGTCTTCTCCCCTCCTGCTGCCCATGATGTGTTAGTCCTAATCAGCCGCAGTGACTGGAGTCGGCTTAACTTGAAGGACCTGTTGTAAATTCATGTGTACTGTTCCCCCCCACACACACCTTCATTTCTGTTTGGTTTATTCACTAATTCTTTCCCAGACAATAAGAATGCAGCCAGAGGTGTGTCCAGAAATACTGCCTTCAACTTGAGCATTTCTCATGTTATTATTGTCTTAGCAATGCTGTAATTAAGTACCAAGGCTTCCATTGTGCATCGCTAATTACAGAGCTGAAAACATTAATCTAAAAAGCAGTCTTATATGAAAGTATAAATACACGTGGTTAAGTCAGAACTTGAAGACTCCAAACTCTGCCAGTTTTTTTTCAGAGAGAAAATCATCCCAGACTTTGACCACTAACTTCTTCTTGTGCAAAGTCTCTTTTCCAAATGTTGTTCATCAACTACGTCTTTAAGAGTTTTGGATAGAGAGAAAGGTTTCATGATATGACATCAGGACTGCTGCTAAGACTAGGAGCCCTAACCTCACAGTTAATCTTTCGACCCTGGAAGGAGGGACCAAGAGGATTACCACTTATAGTTGTTGGAATATACTAGCAATTATTCTATTAGCTGCTAAGTGGCACCTCTCCCCTTGCTGAAAGATGGTTAGCATGCAAACTTTCATTAGATATTTCTTCAAGGACAGCTTGAACTACATAATATTTAGGGAAGCTGAAAGTTTATATTCCACTTTTAAAAAAGATAAAAAGTTGCTCTTTGAGCGGCAATATCACTCAAAATTCTCATAGACAACTTTTCAGGGCTAGAAGCTATATTTGCAGATTAAAAGCTGCATCCCTCACTTACTAGTCACAGAATGTGAGGTCTATAGTGTTTGGGTGTGAGGCAAGCTGTATGATATCTACCCAGGGGTGAGCTTTGGATTCATTCCCTGCATCTCTTCCCTACATTTAATATGATTTAAGAGCAGGATGGAGAGATGTGTTTGTCAAACACTTTCATATTAATCTGACATTTTACACTAACTACCTACCCCCTCTCCATTTATTTCAAAATGTTTTAGAGCAAAATTCAATTGATCTTGTTTTAGAAGTCATGTGTAACTTCAGTGTTCTGGACTGCCCTTTTCCTGGGCCTTATGGGCCTTAGAGAGCATGGACCTTTCTAACTCTTTAGTGCATCCCAAGGGAATCATTTTAATCAAATGTAAACATGTTAGCCAGTCTTTCCCTGGGAGATATTGTAGTGTGCAAATGATCTTCTATTCCAGTGAAACACAGACCAAAGGATTAGTGGACAGGCCAGCACTATCAGACTTCGGGAATCTATGGGTGTTTAGGATGGGTGGTCTGAGAACACCCTCCCTACAGTGTGTGAATCATTGAGGAAGGAGATAATCTGAGTAGTTGGCAGCTTCCTGTTGGCAGTCAGGAAGAAGGGCTTTGGGACCCTTTGTTCTGGGTTCTGACACACAAGTTTAACCATTCCCACCCTGCCGAGATGAGCCAACAGAACTCTGGTTTCGCAACCTCCAGCTCTTCTTCCTCATTCCACCTGCTTTTCCTCGTTCCCACACATTTTCAGTTCTGTCTTCACTGTGGTGTGGAAGTGTCCAGGTTGCTGTTCTTTTCCAGCTGTTTGGTTTTCCCCCACTGAGACTGTTTGGCCCGTCTTAGGAGTAAATACTAGGGAGAGTGTGCTGACTTAGAACACAGCGCTGTCTTGCATATGAGACTAATTTGAGAATTACAAATAATGGAAGAGCCTTTGGATTTTGTCCTTAAAAGTTGAACACATCTATCACACTGCCTTTATTTTTCCTTTACTCAGGAGAAGAAATTTCTTTCCTCTCAAAATTGCTAAGGCCCTCACCACCTACCAGCTGCTTTGGGGATCTTGTTCTGTCCTCCATGTCCTCTTTCATTGCTTCCATGCTTTCTCTTGTTCTCTGAGTTATCTTTGAGAAAATGAGTATATCCAAAGATCTTTCATTTTATTTTTTCCTTTTGAAAAAATTTTAGATGGGCTTGCTATAGAATTATATCATTCCCCCTGTTTTCTTTCCCATCTCCATCCCGGCCCATGTCCCCCACCACAATTAAATTGATAGTTTCTTTCCCTTTGATAACTATTATTACACACACACACAAAGACACACACATATATGTATTTAAAAATATATAAATCCAACCTACTGAGACCTTTTTGCTGTTTGTTTCTATATGGTTTCAAGCCTGAACACTTTGTGTTGAAAAACCAGTAAGGGGGCTCATCGCTGTGTGGGGCTAATTTTACCCTTCTCAAAAACAAACAAACAAACAAACAAACAAAAAACCCATTAGTTTCCAGTCATTCTTTGTCTGAGGTTGGGAACCCTTGAAATTGCCCTTCCACATTAGCTTGTCTACTTTCCATTGTTCCAGTCTTCCTTATGCACCCATTTCCAGGAGAGACTGCTTCACAGCATACTTCCTGGTACTGTCTTCTAAAAATCTTTTTGGCTCCTCTTCCATGAGATTCTCTGAACTGTAGATGTAGAAGCTGTGATGTATATGTCTATTGGGTCTGAGATTCCCATGACCTGTTTCTCTATGCAATGTCCAGTTGTGGTGTTCCATGGCGGTCTCTCTCTCTACTTGTTATAAAGAGAAACTTCTTTGATGAAGGATGGTAGCTCTACTTATCTGTGTGTGTAAAGATAGGATTTAATTTTTAGTTGGGAATTGTGACAGTCTAGCAACATGGTGGTAATAGATTCTTTTCTAAGGTCCATGACCTCAGTAGTCCCCAGAAGTTGGCTAGGTTTGTAGCAGGCATGATTTCCCTCCTCTTGCGTGGACCTTCAGTCCATTAGAGAGCTCTTAGTTATCACTAATGTGTGAGTGCCACTCTTGTGCCTTTCTTGGTCTCTTGTCACACTTGTCATGGTGGTTCATAGGTGTTGTAGCTGAGTAGGACTATTCATTTTTTCCTCCTTTTGGCAGGTTGCAAAGTATTTTCTGGTATCATGGAAACTGAACCAAAGGAAGGAGGCTTTCAGGATAGATCCAACTCCAATCACCCAAGTGGTGTGTTCTAAGGGTGCAGTGATTTCAACAATAGGGGCTTCCTTTTAACCTTTGAGAGGCAACCAAGGGCTAAATCAAAAATCTATTTGTGTTGGGAACCACCTGGACTACTCTGACTAACCATGTAAGAGAAAGTTTTCCCAGCAAAGTACTGAGGCTTTTGTTAGTCCGCTGTTCTTGTGGAGAGCACTGTCAACCAAGTGGCTTAGCTTTCTTTATCTATCTGTATCTGTGTCTATATCTGTATCATCCATATCTAAATTCTGAACCCACATTCCTGGTCATGTATGAACATAATGTATTTTGTTTCACTTGCATTTTTGTCTTCTACACATTGGAGTCTACCTAACATCACTGATTGTCCAGTGTACTGGAAATGTGACAATCTAGACGTCCTAGCTACTATTGCCAATGAATCCTTCCACAGTTTTTCCTTATATCTTTCTGTAAAGGTGACCATCCATCATCATCATCATCATCATCATCATCATCATCATCATTATTATTTTAGGAAAGAGTAAAGAACAAATGTTTGTGGACAAATTTAGTCTTTTGAAATTTTAGCTATCCATTTTGAGTGGTTTATTGAATCTCCTTAAGGCTTTGTTCTATGAAATAACACAATCACAATACCACTGATTTCATGGGGATTTTTTAAAGATTAAATTTACGTAATATGTGCAAAATATCTGTCCTCTAACAAGCACACAGAAAATGTTTATTATTGATATTCTCTTTATTTGCTCTTGTTACATTATCAGGCTTGCTATTTCTTTATCTTTAGTTCATCTTAGGCTCTTCTTTTGAAAGGTATGGTTAACCATGTCTGTTTTCTTTCAGGGTTTTATATACACCTCAATACACCTGTCATTCATATGCTCTTCTTTTGGGATTATCATGTATGGCTAGTTTCTACTATTTTCAGACAGGCTGTAATTTCTGAAGCTTTTATCTCTAGCCTGGACTCTTTCTCGTATAAGTCTCATTTATTTTCATTATCCTATTTTTCCTCTCAGCTCTTGAGTGCATGGGAACATTGAGGAGATCCTGTGATATTCTACCCAGATATTCCTTCTATTTGCTGAGAGTGTTGCAACAGAACATTCTTGGTTGTCAGCCTCCTTCAGATGTTGCCTGAAGACAAACATACATCTAAGTCATTCTTCATTCATGCGGGAAGCCCAAGTCCAGTGACTAATCAATCATGGAATGTAAAGGGCCAGCCTGACAGCCCCAGCCAGAGATTTAGAGTGAGTGGGTATTCCAGCTCCTGGGTTCCATATGGAATCAGATGAAACCACGATGGTATGCATACCACACTGGACTTCTCCTCAAGTCTCTTCCTTCCTGTCTTTGCTCAGGCATTGATCTACAGGAAACACAATATATTAATGTCTGCCTTGTAGGCAGTATCCAAGGCAACCCAGTCATTGATTGATAACTTATTCTAATTTATTAATTGTGACTCCTGCTCTAACATTTCTCTGGGTTGATTTAGCCCTTCAGCATTCCATTCTGAGTCATTTCGATAGGGTTTATTTAGTTTTCTTACCCATGGTCTAACATTTTTTTTGTCTGTATTCCATAAAAATAATCACAACACCATGCTAAACTGAAACTGGAATATGTTTCCATCTTACTTAAAAATTTCTAGTGCTTCCTCACAGCTCCACAAGATAAATTCAAAGTCTTTACATGACAATAATCTTTGAATTTGGCCCCTGCCCAAATCTAAAGCCTGGTTTATAATCATACATTAGTCAATCACAAGTTCTTACAGATTTTACATTTTAGTGGGCATAGTATATATTAAACAAGTATCTGCACTAATGAATAACATTGATGTATATTATAATGCATATTATTCATTATGTAAGAAATAATGAATGAATATAAGGCAAATAGAAATGGGTCTCAACTTTAAGTAGATAAAAAGAATTTGGAAAGGAGATAGACA